CACCTCAGAATCACCCAAAATTGAGTAAAATCCCACAGATCTCCTCAAAATCATCACCTAAAATACCCCAGAATGCCTAAAATTGACTAAAATCCCTCAAAATTGTCCCACAAAACACCTCAGAATACCCAAAATTGCCTTAAATCTCTCAAATCTCCTAAAATTATCCCCCAAAAAACCTCAGAATAACCCAAAATTGACTAAAATCCCTCAGATCTCCTGAAAATCATCACCTAAAATACCCCAGGATGCCTAAAATTGACTAAAATCCCTCAAAATTGTCCCACAAAACACCTCAGAATGCCCAAAATTGCCTTAAATCTCTCAAATCTCCTAAAATTATCCCCCAAAAGACCTCAGAATAACCCAAAATTGACTGAAATCTCTCAGATCTCCTCAAAATTATCACCTAAAATAGCCCAGGATGCCTAAAATCCCTCAATGATGTTGGGGATTTTTGGGGGCTGATTTCACTCATTTTGGGGCTGATAGCTCTGATTTTTGAGTCAATATCACTCATTTTTGGGTCAGTAATGCTCATTTTTGGGGTAATATCACTCTTTTTGGGGCAAATATTGCAGATATTGCTCATTTTGGGGCCAATACTGCTCATTTTTCGGCCTATATTTCCCATTTTGGGCCAATATGGCTCATTTTTGGGTCAATATTGCTCATTTTTGGGCAGATATCATTCGTTTTTGGGTTAATATCACTCATTTTTAGGTTAATATTCCTCATTTTTGGGGTCAATATCACTCAATTTAAGGCAAATATGGCAGATATTGCTCCTTTTTTTTGGCCACTATTGCCCATTTTGGTGCCAAATCACTCATTTTTGGGACAATATCACTCATTTTTTGACTTACATTGCCCGTTTTTGGCCAAAATTGCTCATTTTGGGGTCAGTATCACTCATTTTGGGGGCTGGTATTTTTCATTTTGGGGCCAACATCACTCATTTTTGGGATGATATCACTCATTTTTGGGTCAATGTCACTCATTTTTGGGCTGATATTGCCCATTTTGGTGCCAAATCACACATTTTTGGGCCAATATCCCTCATTTTTGGGCCAATATCACTCATTTTGGGACAATATTGCTCATTTTGGGCCAACATCACTCATTTTGGGGCCAACATCACTCATTTTGGGCCAACATCACTCATTTTGGGCCAACATCACTCATTTTGGGGCCAATATCACTCATTTTGGGACAATATTGCTCATTTTGGGCCAACATCACTCATTTTGGGGACAATATTGCCAGTTTTGGGGCCGATATCTCTCATTTTGGGGCCTATATCTCTCATTTTTGGGCTGATATTACCCATTTTGGTACCAATATCGCTCATTTTGGGGCCGTTTTCACTCATTTTGCCAGATCAGTGAACAACAACCTCCAATCCCTCCCCATTTTGGGGACAATTCACCCTAATTTCATCCTTTTTTCTCCCCCCAGGCTCCCCCGGCGCCTCCCCAGCCCCCCACTGCCCTCCCAAGTACCCTTCCTCCTCCTCCTCTTCCTCTTCCTCCTCCTCCTCGGGGACCCCTCCAGCCATGCCATCAGAAACAGACCCCCCATTCCGTCGTCGCCCCCCACCCCAAAACCCCCCAAATTCTGGGGGCTGCCCCTTGGACATCCCGCTGTTGCTGGAGGAGCTGCGGGTGTTGCAACAGCGTCAGCTCCGTCAGATGCAGCTGA